TGTGCTGTGACCATTTGAAAATAATCTGTGACTATTAACAAAAATATGAGACATGAACCTTATCGGGTTATCAATCATTATAAACAAACAACCATGCGTTGTGACCTGAGCTGTGACTTGTGACCTGAGTTGTGACTGAACAAAAAAATTATTGTCACCGGAATAGTCGTCGGAGTCGGAGCATTCGCTGAAAACGGTCGACGGAATCGTCACTGGAATCTGAGTAGTCGCCGAGAATGGTCGCCGGAGAAATCGTCGGGAACGGTCGCCGGCGCATAAGGGGTGGAGGAGGTGGGGGTGGGTTATATATATATATATATATAAATAAATATTTATATATATGTGTATCTATATGTCAAAATATCTGATTTTTGAAATATGAAAGTTATTTTGTTATTTTTGAAATAGTATAAAGTAAAAGTAGGAGAAATAAATTTTTCCCAAAAAATTATAGTACTAGAAGTATAGAGAACTCACGTCACTGTTGAAATGACACCTATATTATTTCTTCATGTGTGGATCTCGATAAACAATATGTGATCATGATCAATAAATTGATTAATTTGTAATCAATAAATAATATGTGATCGTTAAAATAAATAATTTGTGATTAATAAATAATATGTGACCTTCAAAAAGTGAAATGTTGATTAAATTTATAATGATGACTCACAATTTATTAAGTTGTGACTAATTAATTTGTTAATTTATGATTGAAAAATAAGTTGTGATCCGTAAAATTTGTGACTTATGACCGATGAATAATACATGATCTATTAATTTAATAAATTGTGACCTCCAACATTTGTCATTTATGACAAAAAATTAGTACTTGATCAATTAATTTGATAATTTATGACAGAAAAATAAGTTGTTATTTACAAAATTTGTGATTTGTACCTATGATAACTGTAGTTGTGACTAATACGTAACTGTAATCATAAATTTTATAATATTGTGTGACTTATTAATATTTAATTAATAAAATTTATTTAGGACTTGATTTTTAAAATAAAAAAACTAATTTTTTAATTTTGAAATTGTATTTTTGCCACCATCTTATATACGAAAGGGAAAAATTCATATCTAAGG